AAGTGTATTCAAGAACGACCACATTGTCCTCACCTCCATAATGACCCATCAGGAATGGAGAGCTCTCAACAATGAGCTTAACAGCCAACTCAATTCCCTATGCCAGGTTCATGATGGTCCATCTCCGGATTAGTTTCCATCATTTGTTCTCGAACGGCAAGTTCCCCTCCACTAGTGAGATCCACATACACCAGAATGGTAGCCAAGGTCTTCCGAATTGTACTTGGGAGAAACATGGAGGCATATATGGATGACATGATCGTGAAGAGCCAGAAGGCAGGAGATCATGTAGACGACCTCTAGGAAGTGTTTGGCATCATGAAGATGGTGAATCTAAGACTCAATCCTAAGAAGTGCACTTTCACAGTACAGGGCGGGAAGTTTATGGGTTCATGGTGACCCACAGAGGCATCGAGCCCAACTTAGAGAAAGTCAAGGCGATCCTGGAGATGGAACCCCTTTGGAATGTAAAGGAAGTTCAAATCCTAACCTGGAGGCTGGCAGCCCTCGAAAGATTCCTATCCGGGTCGGCTGAGAAGTCCTTGTCATTCTTCCAGATCTTGAAAAAAAGCAACGGGTTCGAATGGACTCAGGAATGCCAAACTGCCATTGAAGATCTCAAAAGGTATTTACAGTCAGAGCTCCTATTAACAAACCTGAAGCAGGTGAAACGCTCATCCTCTACTTGGGGGTGTTACAAAGTGCAGTCAGCTCCGTTTTGGTACGCGAGGAAGGAACTGTGCAGAAGCCGGTCTATTACATAAGCAAGATTCTCTATGGCGTCGAGCTCAGATATACGGCCCTGGAGAAGATCGCACTGGCAGTATACGTAGCGGCTAAGAAACTTGCCCATTATTTCCAAGCTCACTCTATTAAGGTCTTGTCAGACCTAGGGGTGGGTACTTTATTCAAAATGGCTAAGACTGCACGGGTGGTGAAATGGTCCTTATTAATCAGCTAATATCAAGTAAGTTTTCAACCTAGATCATCAATCAAGGGACATGCTTTGGCAGATTTCATAGTGGAATGAACTGCGCGAGATGTGCCCGAAGAAAGACGTCGCGATGAAGAAGATTGGTGGACTCTGATGACTGATGGTTCATCATCAGGGTCCAAAGGGTAGAGGAATGTAAGATGTTCTGTTACAAGCCACCCCCAGGGTGGAAAACAACGGACACGCAGGTCCGGGAAAGATGTTTGTTAAATGTTTGAAAAGATCAAATTCAATTACCAGAGGAGGAGGAGGGAGGAGGAACTTCCGGAGTCAGGTCAGCCAAGGCAAGGCTCTCTGAGGGGGTTTTCAGGTTCCACTAGGGGGCTTCAAGGTTCTCTATCAATTCTGGCATTCCCCTAGCTAAAGCCGAGAAGGCAGGGTTTCTCTTCTGCAGAATCTCGTACAGGGACTTCAGCATCCCGTACTGACCCAGTTTAAAGCACAGAGTCCCCTTCTCATCCAGCCTAGCCTCCCCTTACGGGGAAAGAAGCCTAGGCGATTTGGGCCCTTGCTGAGCATGATCTGTTCCACTTCCGCCCGGAAGTCTTCACTCTCCCAGAAAGCCTGAACAGCAGCAGGACCAGCCTCCTCTGTTTTACTCCTCACTTCTCACTCCATGACCCGGTGGGAAACCTCTATATTGCAAAGCCTCTTCTGCAGTGTGCCAGCCTCCTTCACCTCCTTCACCCGAGCCATCTCCACTGTCGCCAGCCTCTGCTCCAAGTCTACCGTCTTCTTTTTTAGATTTGCGAGAAGACCTTGAGCATCATCGTGCCCCCCCATCTAAACGAAGGGAGCCGGAATCAGCAAGCACAAAGTCTTGAAACAGGAAAATTTCGTGTATATGAGACAGGTTTGCAGAATTTTAAAGGCAACAATAGCAGCGGGTCCAGAAGGGACACATACCTCAGACATGACATGAAATACGTGCTGGATAGCAGTCGGAGGAGATAGGCCCTTGATCTCCTCAGCATTGGCAGGATGTGTGACAGCCGGGCCCAAAGACACGGGATTCACGGTGCGGCAGAATATGGAAGTTGAGCCCGATTTCACGGTGAGCTTGACGGTGTGGAGAGGTGACGGGGCATTCCCCTTACTACCACCCTCCATAGACTGTGCATCCGGGTCTGAGTCCACATCAACAACGCCATCAACAGGTTTCACCCCAGCTTTGTTCTTCTTCTTGGGACCGGAGATGGGCTGGTGTGTCAGCCTCTTCCCAGCCTCCTGGGGATGGGAGGCCGGAGGTCAGCAGACGGCGTTGCAAGAGTCGCAGCGCCATCTCCGAGGACGGATCCCCCTGACTTCTCCGAGGTGGCCTCAATTGCCCCTGGGCCAGGATCTTCCTGAGTGGGACCATAGGGCCAGGGGTGGCTCCAGCCTTTGCCGCAAGTCGCTCAAATTGGGATGCCGGCCATCTTATCACCCGCTAAATCAAAGTAAGAAATTTGTTCGGGATAGTGGACACAATCAGACAAAAGGGGAAATAAAACAGATATGCGATCAGCCATTGCCGACCTGATCTGAACTAAAACCCAACAACCCCGTCCTCACCTATGTAATGCCCCATCATGAAGGGTGAGCCCTCAACGATCAATTTGGTAGGCAACTCATTCCCTTCTGGCAAGATCGACATCACCCATCTCCGAATCAGCTCCCCCCACTTGTTCTCGAACAAAAGCTTACCATCTACGAGGTGACCCACACCCACTTGTACCTCCATGAAAGTCAACTGGAATTTGGGGCCGATTTGAACTGGCCCCGTCATCAGTGAAGACGTTATGGATGGGAACAAAACTAGATGAAGGCATAGTAAGACAGACCTGAGCCGGAACTAAGGATTGTGGAGCGGACGAGGAGACTTGGGCCTCCTAGGATCTGTGAATGAAGAACTTCAAGGGAATTTGCAAGCGAAATGATTGAGAAAAGGTTTGAAGGAGAAGCACGCCTTATATAGGGGTGATGCGTCGACACTTCTCGAGAACCGCTTGGAAACCGACGTCCAAAGTAATCGAGTGTTGCAGCCGAAAAGACAGGCTCGAAACTCATGCAAGCCACAGACGTGTACCGCTTAAGAAACTGCATTCAATGCTGAATGGCGCTACAAATGGAAATTCAAAATTCGAAATCTTCTACTCTCCTAAAATAGAGCCCAACTGATTTTATAGAGTACGGGGGCTCGTGATGGTACAATGGATTACAACCATGGCACAAGACTGAATTAAGATAAAGCTCATCAACAGGATCAGCCCATACCACGAGCCCACTAATTGGGATTAATACTCCCTCCGTCCCACTAACAATGGGACAAGAGGGAGTGGCACTAAAATTTATAAAAAGTGATTTATGTGGTTGATATTGAATTGATAAAGTAAGAATAAAGTAAGAATGATTTAGAGCCACACAAACTTTACCAAATAAGGTGTGGGACAATCTTAGTGTGACGGACCGAAATGGTAAAATGAGACAATCATAGCGGGACGGGGGTAGTAATAAATAGCCGCTTGGCCTAATTAGGAATCCAACCCGCAAAAGGAACCCACTACCAGGCCAGGCTGGACAGTAGACCTCGAGCATGGGCGGAATTCTAGCGAGGTCAGACTCTTCCTAGTGCTTATGTGGTAGATTATGATTCGTGCATAGCTATCTGACAGCGGCAGGAAATAACGGAAGGAACGTGAACCTGAGGGAAACAATCATTGCACAACGTTCGAGACATTACAAGACTCTATCTCAATTAATAGCATTTAATATATCAATTTTCTTCTAGAATACTAGAACCTAAGGTCAATAAATACTTCATGTACATATCCTACCAAGGATCTGAATTCCAGAATAAGAATACTATCTTACGCTACCTAAATTCATCTGCTCTCGTAGATATAGGTCTCGTATTTGGATTAAACTCCATCACATTTCTTTATAGGAACATGAGAGGTATTTTTGCACCTTTAAAAAGTGCAAAGTATATATGCACTTCCCGTGTTCCCCATAAATTTCTAAGGTATATTTGTTCCAAAAAATAGAAAGATGTATTTATTCTCACACTCATACTACAAGGGTATGTTTGTACATTTTTCCTATTACTCCGTAAAAAATTAATTGATTAAAACTTCCTAAAATAGGAGTAAATTGAGTGCTATTTTGGGAATATACAATGATAATTATAATAAATTTATAATAGGAGACAGTACTTCGTGTGGGGCCATCCATCTTAATAAATAAGTGGGATACTGGGATCATTGATGTAAACATTTCCTTAATAAATTTAAAAAACAGGGAAGCAGCCCCAGAACAATTCGTATGTGCACTTCAGAGTTCAGACGCGACTGCCAAAAATAGGGCTGGGACTTTGGAACCAAGAACCGGAGAACCGAACCGGACCGAACCGTTATGACCCGGTTCGGTTCCAACATTTATTAGTTATTTTTTAACGGTTCGGTTCCTATTTTTTTATTAATGGTTCGGTTCTCGGTTCCTAAAAAAAATATGTACTAGGAACCATTAAGGAACCGTTATATATAATAATTAAAATTATATATATATTTCTTATGAGCATATATATTTTAATGTATATTTACTTACTTATTTTTATATTACATTCATTATTTTTGTTTAGTTATTCAACTATTTAAAACTATTATTCACTTCAACCGGTTCTCTTAGGCTTCTTAGGCCTCTCATTAGGTCCAAACTCCAGTGGGTCGGAACTTTGAGGGTCCAAGTATTTAAAATTATTATTCTCTTTAACTGTTTAAGCATATTTATATCGTAATTTCAAATGTAGAATGTCTTTTTGGCAAAAATTTAGTCATGATTTGTAAGAATTTTTTCGAAGACTAGGAACCGTTAAATGACAAGAACCGAACCGTTAAGAACGGTTCGGTTCCTTATCGGTTCTATAAAATAATTAATAAGAACCGAACCGTTAGTAAAATTTCATATTTTCAAACGGTTCCACATATTTGGCCTAGGAACCGAACCGGTCCCAGGCCTAGCCAAAAATGTAATTTTCGGAAGGTTGTGTATTATTAGGAGTGGGTTGCTATGAATGTATGATGCAAACAAAGTCTTGCAACTTCAATTGTTCTGCAATAGGTAGAAAGTACAACTTTTAACGGATGAAAAATACGGACTCGCTATCTAACTCAAAAGACAATAAAACAGAATATTCAATCCATTCAGGAAACGCAATTTCTGAGTGTTGAGTGACTTTCCATCGGACCAATCATTCAATATATTATTTAGCGTTTCTTCTTTGCAGCGCTGGATTTTGATGGTGTTGCCACGAGGTATACAAACACAACTACAATGGAGATCACAGAAGCCAACGACCCATATTTTGCCAAAACTCTCTACACAAAAAAAACCATCATATTAAGTTATTAACTGATGAAACAAGAGTTGCAAAGTTCTTACATCAGTTATGTGTTGGTCCTTTTCACCTTTTTTTTTACTTCTTATTCCAATTTCCAATTAGTTCAGGTGAGAGTTTGAGAGTGTGAGACCAGACCACAAGTCCACAACACCCGATCAGATCTTTAAAAAATCCAGATCAGATCACTTTGTTCAGTCAAAGAGAACCCATCCTTATTCCCAATTGGAGACCATCCATCATGCATGTAACATCGATTATAGTCCTTACATAAAAGGATCATTGCTTCTCTGTAAGTTAAAGGAAGTAACGGTAACCACATGATGGCTACCCAATTTGCAACTAATGTTATGAACATTGTTCTTTCATTTTTAAATTAAAAGGGAAATATAGGGCACTGTACCGTAAACTTTTTGAAGAGTCAAATCAAAATTATTGGGCTGTTAATTTTAAAAAAGAATTATATTATAATACTCCCTATGTCCCTCAATACTTTGACATGTTTGACTGGCACGGGAAATAATAAAGTACGGTTGAGGTATGTGCAGAAGTTATAACGGACGACAACGGGCGAAGGGAGTATTAATAACACAAACAGATTTGGTGGACTAATTACAGAGGTCTGATTCACCAACAGGACGGGACTGCACTGGATCAGGAGTTAAGATGAGACAATGGTAGGTACGTGGAAACCCAAAAATGGGAACGGTACCATATTCAGGGCATGATCCAGAGAACACAACAAGCTTCTTCGGCCACTATGTTAGAGGTTGCACCCGGTCATCTGAGTCAGACCAGATGGGCAGGGCAATATAACCCATTACTAAGACGATGTCTAAACACTTAAACGAAAGTATTTGCACATTTCAGATATAATTCCCTCGTTTACATGTACCTGAATGATGATGACCAGAAATGTGGACAATGTGAACATTCATTATTGAGAAAGAAAGGATGACACCCTGGGGGGCTGGAACTGACCTGACAACTATCTAAAGGATGTAAAGATCTTTGATCTCACTCTGATGGAAAGAGAGTGAGGCTCCATCCCAAGTCATTGGTTGGAGTTGAACCCGAGACCTCTCCCTTGTGAGAGCCTCCTCCTACCAAGTGAACTACACCCCAGTAATGCACTATTTTCTATTTTCGCAAGTTTTCACACATTAATGTAACCTACCGTAAAAATGTTGTTTTTCTTGTTTCCTACTTTCATGCTTCATAAATTGATTTCATTAAATAATTTGTTAATATAGGCATCTCCAAATATTAAAGTTAAGCCGATATGAAAAAACTTATGTTTAAGTTTTTGGTAAAATTCAAATGTTTAATCAAAGGATTGGTAAAGATCTTTAAGAGCCCGTTTGGTGACCTTGTTTTTCAGCTTATCAAGCTCATGAACAAACTTTTTCACCAAAAACGTAACTTTTGATTTCGCGCGATGAAATGTGTAATAATAAGAAAAAGTAAGATTGGGGTTACTTTTCTGGCTGTATTGGCTGAAGTTACTGTAGAGGGTGATTTTAGCTATTTTCATATACGTATTTCTTTATTTTATTAATAAAGAATATTTTAAATATAATTTTTTCATACATCAGCAGAATCAGCCAATCCAGCCACTTCAGTCAGCACTTCATAAATTTCAACAGAATCAGCCGATTCAACCAATTTTTGTGCTACCAAACGGCCTCTAAATCTTGGAGTTACTATTCAGACTTATAACTCTGATTATAGATTAACTTGATACCACAGTAGTCAAAGTCGTGAGGCGCACTTAAGGCGCTAAACTTAAAAACGTTCGCCTGACTCGGATCAAGCACATTATTTAGAAAATATTATTTATATTATTCTAGAGTGATCAAATATGACATATGCAACATCAAATTGAACTAAATGCAACAAAAGGTCATGTTTCTCAAAAACAAAGTCAAGATTCACCAAAATAAACTCATGGTTCACAAAAACAAAACACCAAGTGGGGTTTGTCTTTGTTGAGTTTGCAATTTCAGCACTAGGAGTAGCATAAACAAGTGTATGAAACTATTAATTGAGTTAGATTATATGAAGTTTTTATACAGTTAAAATATGAAATGATAATAGGAACATATAGAATTATATACTATAAAATAAGATGAAATCATATAGAGTACATATAATGCATAGATGACTGGAACGGATAAAAGTAAACAATGAAGATAGAATGAAAGAATAAAATGAAAAGGATCACCAAGAAGATGACAAAATAAATGAAAACTACAAGCTCAAAAAGAAAGGTTATGGGTTGCTCAAAAAGAATGGGTTTCTGACTTATGTGGGTTGATCGTTGAATGGTTTCAGCGTTGAGCATGTTGCTCAAGTAGAGCACATAGCAGCATAGGAAAGTAACGATTAAGTGAAGATAGAAGACTTTTCCCACGACTAAGAACTAAGAAGGGTTTAATATGGGTTTAAGTTGTTTTTACCTGTTGTTTGGATGGGCTACATCTTATTATAAGTATGGGCTTATTATTTAAAGTAGGATCAAACAAAACATAGGCTGATAAGCCTTTCCCAGCACAGGCGACTTAAGTCTGCACTTTTCTCAGCGTCTACACTTCTGCGCCTAAACTGCGCCTCAGACGGGGAGTTGCGTCTGGCCGTTGTTCACTTGTTGAGCCTCATGTGCGCTGCGCCTGGTGTGCTTAAGCGCCCAGGTGCTTGCTTTAGACTACCTTGCTTGATACCACATGAAGCTACATATGATGTCTAGTAAGCCAAAAAGGATATGAACTATGAAGACATGAAGTTTCCATTGCCCAAAATAAAAATTAATGTTCTCTTGGACTTTGTAACATATCCCATAATTTCCATATATTTTACCACAATATTCATTATGACGATGACGATGATTGGGGTGATAATTATGGTAAAACTAACGCAGAAAATAGAAATAAAAACATACCTTTGCCTGACAAGTGATAAGACATCAAATAAGACAATCCCATGCAACAAAATAATAAGAAATTAAGTAATGTTTCTAGTAAATCAACATACCATATATAAGATAACCAGAATTGATATATGCAACTAGAACAAGCATCACACTTACCAAGTCAAATTTCTTTTCAGGGGGGCTCTCTGCTAGCAAGTCAAGAGGCATTATTGGGGTAGAGTACGCCTCCTACATAAAATACACGTAAAATTGAAGAGCATTGACCGTGAACTCAACTATCAAACTAGAATGATATATGACATTTCAAACCTGCAGAGCAGCCCTAGTGGGGATGCGAAATGTTATGATTGTTGGAGCACCATAAAAAAGTTTTTTAGATTTGGCCTCCAACTCAAAAGAATGTGATAGGGAACCACCTCTGAAATCATTAAATAAACATGAGAAAGAAAGAGGTGTATCCAAAAACATGGGGGTCAGCTTATAAAAAAGGAAGTGTATAGGCAGGCCAATAAACTATAACTCACACATCAAGACGTTCCCATGACATAGAAGTGTTACCATCAATAATGTCAAATGCATCTTTGGGCCAGCTACCATCATTAAGACTCAAATCATAAGCAGTCCTGAAAAGCATAAACTATTCCATATTTAGGATGAACTATAGAAGTGCGTTACCAACAAGATGATTACTTTCCCAGATTACTTTACAGAAAAGTATGATAATAGCGTAAATACTATAACACAATTCTCAATATGCTTATCCAGTTTATATGGATATTGACAATTATTGATAATGGATCATGAGACAAGAAACATGTATTGGCTTGGATTTTCACATAAACCCATTTTTAAATGGATATTGACAATTATTGAGGACATTACAGATAGACATCATTAAACAAGATGAAAGGTATCAAATGTGATGGTAGAAGTTTTTCTACTAGCTTCTATAGTATCATAGGATATTTGGATGGTGTCAAATCCAATTACAACCTGCAACAGGTTAAGCTGAAGATAACACATAAACTACATACAATTAATGAATCACGAAACCCAACGAAAATCCTTACTTATAATAAATTTAATAACTCTGTATAAAACCAAGAGACAGCAAATGGAAACAGACAAAGCTTGTAGAACAGTAGCAACTGCATGCGAATTCAATGTGAATCCTGAAACGGAAAAATGACTTCACAGATTCTTAATTCACGAACCTAAATTGGAAGAATTCCAAAGGCAATTAGGGAGGCGGGGGAAGTTAATAATTCAGCGAGTAAATTGTATTCTACGATATCCTCAAAAACAAAGAATTGTTATAAATGTTATAAAAACGTTTCTAAATTCCAAAATGGGACTGACATGTTTTTAATTCCGCAAATGGGACTAATTACTGTTGTCATGTTTCGGCAGTACCATACTTTAAACGTTAACATGTCAACATGGCAGTATTTTCCAGACTTGAGGGTAATTACTCTTATTTTGGTCCTATTTTGGAATTTAAAGACGTTTTTGGTCCCATTTCAGGAATTTTTCCATGGAAATATCAGCTCACACATAACCACTACGCACACAGACAATTGAAGAAGCTTGTGGAGAGAGGAAAATAGGACAGATACACAGATCTGGAAAGGAAGATGCGAGTGAAGTGAAATTTGAATGAAAACATACGCAGATCCCTGATTATAGATATCAATAGTGACGGAGACCCGTTCAGTGCCGGATTTCAGCTTAGTAGAGGCTGCCTTCTTGTGGGCGATGATGAAGGGGCCATCGGAACTGGCGAAGGTGGTCGACGATACCAAGAAGTAGAAGAAGAAGAAAGAGAGAGGAGCTAACAATGAGTTCCTCCAACAATTCGCCATACCTCAGATTCAGAGTGAACGTGGAACCTAGAAAAAGAGAGCAAGACAGAGTCGTATTGAGAAAATGTCTATCTTGAGGTTAGGGCTGAGATACAACGTGTTTGTATTTAGATGTTAGGGATAATAATAACAATTTGTCTATTCCTACACACATTAGTACACATCTTTTCTAGGGCTGGTACTTTGGAACCAAGAATCGGAGAACCGAATCGGACCGAACCGTTATGACTCGGTTCGGTTCGGTTCCAACATTTATTAGTTATTTGTTAACGGTTCGGTTCCTATTTTTTATTAACGGTTCGGTTCTCGATTCCTGAAAAAAATATGTACCAAGAACCGTTAAGGAACCGTTATATGTAATAATTAAAATTATATACATATTCTTAGGAGTATATATATTTTAATGCATATTTACTTACTTATTTTTATATTACATTCATTGTTTTAGTTTTGTTATTTAACTATTTAAAACTATTATTCACTTCAACCGGTTCTCTTAGGCTTCTTAGGCCTCTCATTAGGTCCAAACTCCAGCGGGTCGGAACTCGGAAGGTCCAAACTATTTAAAATTATTATTCTCTTTAACTGGTTCAACATATTTATATTGTAATTTCTAACGTTGAATGTCTTTTTGCCAAAAATTTAGAGCCCGTTTGGTAGCACCAAAATCGGCTGTTTTGGCTGATTCTGCTGAAATTTATGATATTCTGGCTGGAGTGGCTGTTTTGGCTGATTCTGCTGATTTAAGAAAAAAATATTTTAAAAATATATTTTATTAATAAATTAAAGAAAAAATTATATGTAAAAATAGCTAAAATGGTCCTCTACAGTAACTTCAGCCAATACAGCCAGAAAAGTAACTCCAACCTTACTTTTTCGGCTTATTACACAATTCAGCGCGCGAAAGTAAAAGTTACGTGTTTGGTGAAAAAGCTGGCTGATAAGCCTGATAAGCCGAAAACAGAGTTCTCCAAACGGGCTCTTAGTTGTAATTTGTAAGAATTTTTTCAAAGACTAGGAACCGTTAAATGACAAGAACCGAACCGTTAAGAACGGTTCGGTTCCTTATCGGTTCTATAAAATAATTTATAAGAACCGAACCGTTAGTAAAATTTCATATTTTCAAACGGTTCCACATATTTTGCCTAGGAACCGAACCGGTCCCAGGCCTAATCTTTTCTTTTTGATCGAACATTAGTACACATTTTATACCAGTTCGTTTGTCAATACTGTTTTTCGGCTTATCAGACTTATCAGTCAATTTTTTTTATCAAACATGTCATTTTTGCTTTCACGCGCTGAATTGTGTGATAAGCAGAAAAAGTAAGGTTGAAATTACTTTCTGGCTGTATTGACTGAAGTTATTGTAGACGATCATTTTAGCTATTTTTACATATACTCCGTAATTTTTTCTTTATTTTATTAATAAAATATATTTTTAAAATACTTTTTTCTTAAATCAACAGAATCAGCCAATGCATCCACTTCAACCAGAACTTCATAAATTTCAGCAAAATCAGCCAAATCCGCCGATTTCGTGCTACCAAACGGGCTCTATATATACTCCCAAATAAAATTACCTCCTTCCACCTTTTTTACCTCTTCCCCCACTTCCCTTTCCTCTCTCCTCACTCCCCTCTCCCCCCTCCCTTCTTCTACGGTCTTTCTTTCTTCCCCTTTTTTCTTCTTTTTCAATTCACCATCAATTATCAACTCACAAAAAATATGAGACTCTCTTCCTTCACACATAATCCAACCATTTTAGTCTCAACACTTTGAGTGTTGAGGTAATAATTAATTTCAATTTTTTTTGGTTTTATGATTTTACTTTTTTTCCTTTTCTATACTTTTATGTATCTTGTTATGTTGAAAGCAAAGATTTTAGTATGATCTTTAATGTATGATTATTTTGCTTCATTGTTATGGGTTGCTGATGTTAATTCTTGAAATTTCTGTCTGTTGAGTTTAATCCAACACGATATAGTAAATATATGTATAAATGTGTATGAACAAGCTCAGTTTTTACGTGGAAACCCGAAAGGGAGAAAACCACGGGACTTTTTAGGCTAATGTCCAAGCCCTCTCATTCTCATTAGGCTCTCATCACCATTACATCGTACATTTTGAGCTCCCATTAATGGAATCTTATAAGCTAATTAAGAAGGAGGGAGAAGAAGAAAGGATCCTTCATAAGGAGAGAAATCCTCCTATTTATAGATAAAGGGGGAAAGGGGGCTCTCCACCCTAACGAGCCGGATGGGACAAAGTGGGCCCAAAGGCCGAGACAGGCCTGATAGGCTAAAATGGGCCTTATTGATTGGGCTCCGTACTACATAAAGTCTTGGGCTCCTGAACAGTAATAGGCCGAGATAATATATCTCAACACAAGTCCCCCAGTTTCTTGAGTAGTGAGCGTGTGAATCCGCTCGAGAAAATATACTCTTGCCTGCGCTCTTCCTCTGTCTTGCTGGGAACTGTGTCTTTGAATAATCATAATATATGAGTGGGTGACTGCCCCTCTGAATATAACCTGTCGGTAAGGCGCTCCCCTCCTGATGGGGTCGGGCAAGGGATGCTCTTCCTCGGACACTCTCCCCCTGAATGTATCATGTGGGAGTAGAGGACTCTGACTCGAGCTTTCCAATGGAGAAGCTTAGAGGTCCCTGCACAATATAAGCTGACAACGCGGAACTGGCAAGATATGATGTATGTGTGTATGTATGAATGTATGATGTATGATGCATGAATGCATGTAATGTATGGGTGCAATGTATGAGAGAGGGCATGTAAGATGTGATACAAAGCGGTGAATGTCACCGGTAAACCGGGCACGACGGTGCCGAGAGGCAGACGTGCTGCATAAGACATTCGTTGCCATGGTGCAGGTATGGTCTTACGTTGCCATGGTCTTATATTGCCAAGCTGAAGGTATGGTCTTACGTTGCCATGGTCTTATGTTGCCACGCTGTTAGACACGATGGCGTTGAGGGCCGATCGTGCTGCATAAGACGTTCATCGCCATCCCGGAAGGGAAGGGCGAGCCGAACATGAACTAGACACGATGGCGCTGAGGGGCCGATCGTGCTGCATAAGACGTTCATCGCCACCCTGGAAGGTATGGGCGAGCTGAACATGGACTAGACACGATTGGCGCTGAGGGGCCGATCGTGTTGCATAAGACGTTCCTCGCCACCCTGGAAGGTATGGTCGAGCTGAACATGAACTATACATGATGGCGCTGAGGGGCCGATCGTGCTGCATAAGACGTTCGTCGCCACCCTGGAAGGTATGGGCGAGCAGAACGTGGACTAGACACGATGGCGCTGAGGGGGCCGATCGTGCTGCATAAGACGTTCGTCGCCACCCCTGGAAGGTATGGGCGAGCTGAACAAGGAGCCAGGCATGATGGCGTTGAGGGGCCAATCGTTCGGCACAAGGACGTTCGTCGCCATCCTGGAAGGGATGGACGAGCCGAACAGGAGCCAGACGCGATCGGCGCTGAGGTGCCGATCGTGCTGCATAAGACGTTCGTCGCCCTCCTAGAGAGAATGGGCGAGCCGAACCGTGAATCTGGACACGATGGCGCTGAAGGGCCGATCGTGATGCATAAGACGTTCGTTCGCCATCCTGGAAGGGATGGACGAGCTGAACGTGAGCTGGGTACGATGGCGCTGAGGAGCCGATCGTACTGCATAAGACGGTCGTCGCCATCCTGGGGGGAATGGGCGAGTCGAACAGGAGCCAGACGCGATGGCGCTGAGGTGAGCTGGGTACGATGGCGCTGAGGAGCCGATCGTACTGCATAAGACGGTCGTCGCCATCCTGGGGGGAATGGGCGAGTCGAACAGGAGCCAGACGCGATGGCGCTGAGGTGCCGATCGTGCTTGCATAAGACGTTCGTCGCCATCCTGGAGAGAATGGGCGAGCCGAACCGTGAATCTGGACACGATGGCGTTGAAGGGCCGATCGGTGATGCATAAGACGTTCGTCGCCATCCTGGAAGGGATGGATGAGGCTGAACGTGAGCTGGGTACGATGGCGCTGAGGGGCCGATCGTACTGCATAAGACGGTCGTCGCCATCCTGGGGGGAATGGGTGAGTCGAACAGGAGCCAGACGCGATGGCGCTGAGGTGCCGATCGTGCTGCATAAGACGTTCGTCGCCACCCCTGGAAGGTATGGGCGAGCTGAACAAGGAGCCAGGCATGATGGCGCTGAGGGGCCAATCGTTCGGCATAAGGACGTTCGTCGCCATCCTGGAAGGGATGGACGAGCCGAACAGGAGCCAGACGCAATGGCGCTGAGGTGCCGATCGTGCTGCATAAGGATGTTCGTCGCCATCCTGGAAGGGCATGCACGAACTGCACGTGAGCTGGGTTACGATGGCGCTGAGGGGGCGATCGTACTGCATAAGACGGTCGTCGCCATCCTGGAGGGAATGGGCGAGCTGAACAAGGACTAGACACGATGGAGCTGAGAAGCCGATCGTGCTGCATAAGACGTTCGTACGCCACCCCTGGAAGGGAAATGGGCGAGCCGGACCGTGAATCTGGACACGATGGCACCGAGGGGCCGATCGTGCTGCATAAAGACGTTCGTCGCCATCCTGGAAGGGATGGACGAGCTGAACGTGAGCTGGGGTACGATGGCACTGAGGTGCCGATCGTACTGCATAAGACGATCGTTGCCATCCTGGCGGGAATGGGCGAGCCGAACCGTGAATCTGGACACGATGGCGCTGAGGGGCCGATCGTGATGCAATAAGACGTCCGTCGCCATCCTGGGAGGGATGGACGAGCTGAACGTGAGCTGGGTACGATGGCGTTGAGGGGTCTATCGTACTGCATAAGACGTTCGTCGCCATCCTGGGAAGGATGGACGAGCTGAACGTGAACTAGACACGATGGCGTTGAGGGGCCGAGCGTGCTGCATAAGTCGTTCGTCGCCACCCTGGAAGGCAGGGGTTTAGCCGAACGTGGAACTGGTCACGATGGCGCTGAGGGGCCAATCGTGCTGCATAAGACGTTCGTCGCCCACCCTGGAAGGGAATGGGCGAGCCGGACCGTGAATCTAGACACGATGGCACCGAGGGGCCGATCGTGCTGCATAAAGACATTCGTCGCCATCCTGTAAGGGAT